TATATTTTCTTCAATATATCTTTATTGTTTGTAATATTTATCATATTATAAAAACCTTTATCTATTTCCATATTGTCGTGTTTTTTTTTATAGTATTCTAGAAAAAGAAATAGAAATGTAATAAAATAACTTCGATTTCCAACCCAAAAATTAAAAAAAATCACTGAAAATACGCAAGGTCCGCTACGTGTACTCAAATTAAAAGATTAGTCCCGAGGATGTTGGATTTCCCCGAATGTATGAGATGTCCAATTAATCGATTAACGAGGATAACGTGCATGTGCTTGTAGGTAATGTGTTGACGTTACGTTACGTATCGTTTATAGTAACGTCATTCAAATATGTATGGCAACGTAACAATGTGAAAAAGCAATGTCTTGGCGCTCAAAGGGTTAAGAGGGTTAATAAAATAAAAATCGTAATATCGACCATTAATTTACGTACACCTTACTTGACGGAAAATAATCTTCTAGAGTGAGAGACCCATATTCGCCGCATAATTCGTTCATTTCCACTTACATCCGACCTACAATCGAATATTTGGAACTTTTTATAAAGGTTTCAGAAAACTAGCTATATGAAAAAAATGTTTGTTAAAGAAATTATCTTCAAAACATTGGTTAATTGTTCTAAAAACGAACGCAAACTCAAGAGGAAATCAAGTTGTTCGTGTACCATGGGGGTCACATTTTCGCCGCAAAGTAGGATATGACCATCCTCATTATCCTGGTATATTATAAAAACGAATGTTTGCAATTACATGAATAAGCTTGAGAGATCATTCCTATACGATTTTTCTCACAAATATTTACTTAAAGACTGCGCATGATTGCCATATAAATCTTACATAATTGCCAAAATCATTTAAAAACACCTGCGTATTTCTCAATATGTGCGAATAACCTTGGAGATAGGGAAAAGAGGAATATCAACAGTTTTAGCATTACAAACAGCCTTTACCATCTATTTAGGCAAGTATTTGGTAAAGGCACACAAATTTTACAGAAAAATTACAAAACGGCGAAAATATGTCCAAGGCGAATATGCGCCACCCACTCTAACCACTAGAGTGGGGCGCACATATTCGCCGGGGACACAATTTCGCCGTTTTATGATTTTGAGGTGTAGAAACTTCAAAGGATTGCTGAAATGGACGAAATATGCCGGTAAATTATATTTTTATAACAAATATAATTATTTTTTAAACTTAGAAAAAATTTCGGCACTTACCGCAAAGGACCGAAAAACGGACAACGATTTTCGGCCAATTTCCTGAATGAAAAAAAAAGATTTCAAAGAAGTATTTCTTAGTAATTCTTTGACTGATTGCCCTAAATTTCAGTTCTTTACACCTTTGAAATGTCTGCTATTCATCTATAATGAAATTGATTTGATAAATATTGTTTAAAGCTGCAGTTATTTGGTTTTAAATAGATGTGTAAAAACGGCGAATATGTATCCCCCTATGACAAAACATCAGGAAATTTCAAATAGCCTTTAATCTAACTTTTCAGATGAATTTTTTCAGAGAAACACGTTTTCAAGCTAAGAATATTTTGCTTTTGATGTTATCTTCATATAGAAATATCAGTTTACTTCAAAAACTTAAAGGTCTGAACATAAACTGCAGAAAACATGGAAAATTATGGCGAAAATGAGCACCCCACTCTAGTTCTTGTAATTGTACTAGTATGATTTTGATAAGCCACTATAAAATGAGACAAGTGTTGAATATGCATCTTCCTGTTATACATACAATGACTCAAGATACTTCAACTGAGGAATAAAAAGAGGTAACATCATTGTTATAGCAACTGAACAAGAAAGAAAAAAAAAAAAACGACAAAGAACAATAAGTATCTAGTGATTTTCAAAGATATTTATTGATTTATTAAAGTTGAAAAAAATTATGCAATAAAATTACGAGAAAACATTGACCAATCACGTCCAACCATACTTTCACCACTACGATGGTCCTTTATTTATATCGAAATCCGGTCTACTCTCTTCAATTGTAAGACGGCGTTACCAGTTCCGGTTGAGGAAAATATTGCACTATACCTCTTCATGTCATATTCAATGACGTCATGTGGTTTAGATATTTGAAATCAACTCAGTTGGAAAGCAAGTCCTTGGAAACGTCCGTTGTCATCAAGTTCTATCAGCAACAATAGCAGGGGGGATTAATTAGGTGGCGCTACAGTCGTCGGTGACGTCAAAAAGTCCGCGAAATAAATCGGCTAAAAAATCGACGTTTAACTATTTTTCAACTTGTCATGCTTTTATTATAATTGATTTTTAAAGTTTGTAGACTTTGTGAACAATATAGTTTCAATACGACATTGAAACATTGTCGAAAATAACTTTTATTTGCTATTACTTTATCCTGTCCGTTCTAAAAATTATCAGCCATCTTTTTTGTTCGCCAAAAACATCGAATTTATATAACTTGACGTTTGCGTATCCAAATACGGAATAGAACGTTAAAAATCTTAAATGAAACCGGGTAACCTATTTCAAATTTCTACACTATTATGAAGCCATCATTTTTTACTCTTATACAACAATTTTAGTGACCACCAGTCATGTCAATTTGTAGCTGGTTTTGACTGATTTTCTAGTTCAAAACAGTGAATGTTCAGCTTCTTTGTTGTACCTGTTTCCAAAGTACTCTAAAATACTGATTTTATTAGAGATATGAAAGATTGTAATTAAGAATTGTTGTTTTTCACAATTCCATACGATACTTCCATTTCAAAGTGACTAAAACCCTTCTTGATCCCCTACACAAATTGACGGTGACATTGTTTTCATTTTTCAACATATCGTCATATAACGTTAACAAAATATGTGTCAGGGTCATGTGCATAGTGAAAATTTACACATTGGAAAAGTGAAACAAAGATCATCTTTATTGTGTTTGAAACTACGTCTTAGAAAATTTCTTTCATACTGGAAATAAATCTGACAAATCAATGAATGGACAAAAACACAAAAAAAAAAAAAAAAATAGCAAGAGAAGATGCCTTGCAAAAATTTCAGTTAATTATACTTATAAGTTAAAAACCTTGCTTATGTGATTATCTCTGACTTTATTAAATAAGCTACAGTAACAAGTGCAAAAACTAGCATATCAAGTCAAACAAGAAATTTAATTCATAGAGATGTTTTCTTACAAAATTGAATTTATTCAAATAGCAAATTCTTATCTTTCACAATCATTAAGTAAAAGGCACAAGATTTGTTTTACCAACTATGATTTGTGATATAAATTTCCAATTATTAACTAGATAAAAAATATCCAATACTTTGTTTAAAATATGTATACCAGCTGATACAGCAACCTGAAGAGTAGAAGCCCCATTTTTTTTCATAAAGTTTACTTTCTTTATCTATAAAATACCCTCAGAAATTTGGCAAAGGCTACTAGCTGTGCTTGCTAATCTAATAATTGAATTATACAATAATAATGATTTTGAAATTCAAAATTATGTCACTTATAATTTTAAGTATTATTTTTTACAGACTTTCTTTCAAAATTTTTGGTAAACAAATCCTTTTTCTCAAATTCTGTTGGATATTTTTAAGGCAGTACTGTACTGTTCAACTAAGAAACATAGGATTGACCTAAAAGGTTTTATTTACTTAGAAGATACTATTGTGACTCATGGTCCCACTTTTTAGAATATAACATTTAAATGATCAGTATTATTTATTATTTTTATTTCAGAAAGATTATTTAGATTACATGTATATAAATAAATTTGGTGTATTTACTGTCTTCTGATTGGTTAAAAGTATTACCTTTATTTTCAATGTTGTCAATTTTTATGGCGACACGCCCACTCTGACGTTGTGTATTCATACGCCAACATGTGTGTACGTTGTTATTGTTAATATAAATAATATAAAAAGCTCTTTGAGCCTTATTTTTGATAGAAATTTATTTATAATAAATGACAATAATTTATTTTGAATTTATTGAACCAAAAAATTAATTTTTGACTCTTCACATTTTACATAATCCGCTTCGCGGATTATTCAATGTGAAGAGTCAAAAATTAATTTTATGGTTCAATAAATTCAAAATAAATAATAGTCATTCATTGAATAAAGTATGTTTTATTGCATTAAACATTGTTAGAAGTATTTAAAATAAATTCTACTAGGAGTGATCCCATATCCCATTATAAAAAAAATACGTAGTAAATTTCATCAGCCAGAGCTAATTTATATCAATTCAGCTAGGTTTCTGGGTGGCATTTTTAAATTTTTACCAATTTTTTGTCTTCTAATTTTTACCACTAATCCTTCTCTGAAAAGTAGGGAAGTATCGCATCTTAATATTATAATAACATACTTGTAAATCGAACTCCATTTATTTTCTTCTTGATTTTTGTAAAGTAAACTCTTTTTTATTTTTTTTTGCTGGGTTTTTATTTTTGACTGGTGATATCAAAGGGAGATAACCACTTGCACAAATCGGCAAAAACACCACCGCTTCGTGTTGAAAATAACTTGACGTTTGCGTATCCAAAACTCTATTGCCTAGATATTCATATCGAGTGTTTGCCTTAATGAGATGCTGTATCAAATTTAAATTCAGCCTATCATTTTTAGTTTCCTCGAAAATATTTAGATTTTTCGATCAAGAGACTTGACAATTTTCACGCAAATTTCAAGTTTGAAGGTAAAATTAAGAAAAAAAGGACTTTTAGTTGACGTGTAAGTTTTGACAAGTGAAAACTAAGTATATTCAAGATTATTTAGATCAATAACTTTTTATCATGACAGTGGCATTTTATTGAGTAAGAATGAGGTTTGTCTCAGTCGTTTTTTTAATAGAATTTTCACGGTCACGTGACTCTATTGTTGCTGATAGACTTGGGGTCAAACCGTGACCTGCTTTCCAACTGAACTGAAGAATTAAATAGGATATGGGGTAAACTTAATGCTACAGCAACTCAACAACAACAAAATACAAAATGCAAACAACAGGCATCTACAAGATTCTTAAGGGTATCAATTGGTGACAAATTTAGGCCTTTTTATGCCGCAATGAAATAACCAGAAAACATTGACCAATCTCCTCCAACTATAGTTTCTCCACTATGCTGGTCTTTTTTGATGAAAACCTTGTCTCCTGTTTTTAATTGTAAGACGGCGTTTATAGTTCCCGTAGAATAATTGGTGCCAAAGAGTTTTTCTTTCATAGCATCATTGACCCATAGCTCACAATGCAAGTGCTTTGAACCATCTGATCTCATTGTTGCAGATATCATATAAAGTCCGTTTCTTGGTGTCGTAAAAATTCCAGTACTTGGCGAGTAATGCCCACCAACATTTGTCTTTACGGAGTCGAATTTTATGATCTGATTGATTTGCGGAGTAAAATGCTTCGACAAATTTGCTGTAAAAGCTGGGATAGACTTCTCACCTGTCAATATTGAATAAAATAAATGTTAAGCTAGTTCTGTATATTCTCATATTTTGTAATGAAAAAAAAAAAACAAAAAAAAAAACCCCACCGCATTGAAGGTATCAGTTTTAGACTGAAGTGTAAATTATTGGATTTATTTATGTTCGTGACTTCTAACTTTAATGGATTGACTCGGGGAAAATCGTTAATAGATAGATACTGTTTTTCGTGGTTTTTTTGTCTAAGTCAGATGTTTTTTTTATAAGGTATGGGGAAAATCTGGGTTCAGAATATTGTTTTGTCATCTGCTTGACCACAATATTTGTTTTCATCAAATTTTTAGGAAAAAAACATAACCCCAACCCCCCCTTTGAAGTTAAATGGTCGTTCCCTTACCAACTAGCTCCACGAAATTTGATGCACCACGAATAATTATGGATTCACTGTAATAATATACTGCATAGAGATGTATGAATGAACAAAATTGTAAGGGATATTCTGATTTATATTACGCGTTAACGTCTCAAACAAATCGAAAGACATTCAATCAAGAGGTCAAAATATCTCTTTAAGATAAGTGTTTTTAAATATTTTTGGTACAAGGTTCTTTTGAAACCTGTTCTTTAAAGCCCTCCGTGCTACCTACTGAAGAGTCCTGGGTATGTAAGAGAGGCAAACAATACCAAAGGGACATTCAAACTCATAAGTCAAAAATAAACTGACATTGCCATGGCATATATGAATGGTCATTCATTCATATTTATGTACAGGAATCTCAAGGCCAAACAGACTTTCAAAATCATGCATTGTCCAACTTATCATTATTTGTTCAAATCAAAGTCTGATCTATTTTAAGATTCTTTAAATTTATAAATTCTAAATTTCTAAATTAATAAAGTATATTATTAATAACACCTTAACTGAAAAAGTTCATTATTTATATCTTTTTCCACATAATAAAAACTTCAACAACACAAATTCTGCACTACCTTTCTATTTCAAATACATTAATAGAGTCAATGTTAACTAGAAATTCATTTTAAATTTGTGTAATTCTTTATTATATAATGTAAATCAGGCCTTGGGAGTCTATGTACACAACATATTCGATGGTAAAAATCAAAATAACACAGTACTGCACGTATTAGCTTACCTAATACAAGGAGTCATGTGCGGTATTGTATCCTTTCTTTCATGGTTATCTCTAAACCTTAAACGTTTTAGTCTTTTGCAAAACCACTTACTGTTCATTCGAAGGAACTTTACAAAGTTTTATTTTTTTAGTTTGCATTTTAAGATCAAAATGACTATGTTCTGTTTGCTTGAAATTTGAATAGAATCAATGAAAGTTTAAAATTGAGAATGGAAATGGGGAATATGTTAAAGAGACAACAACCCGACCAAAGAGCAGACAACAGCCGAAGGCCACCAATGTGTCTTAATTCAACGCAGCGAGAAAATCTCGCACTCGGAGGTGGTCCTCAGCTGGCCCCTAAATAAAATTGTGTACTAGTTCAGTGAAAGTGGACGTCACACTAAACTCCAAAACATATAAATGAACTAAAATTAAAAAACATACAAGACTAACAAAGGCCAGAGGCTCCTGACTTGGGACAGGCGCAAAAATGCGGCGAGGTTAAACATGTTTTGTGATATCTCAACCCCCCCCTTATACCTCTAGCCAATGTAGAATAAAGAAACACATAGCAATACGCACAGTAAAACTCAGTTTAAAAGAAGTCCGAGTCAGATGTCAGAATTGCATCTGTGATTCTATGACTGGATAAATTATACAGAGAATTTAATTCAATGTTAAAAGGAATGCAGTTGATTCACACAAAAAAAAATATTATAAGTTATCAGCGATAAAAACAAATCTGGCTAAATTGCATTCAATACTACAAAACAGTAATTTAGCTTTTAATTCTGATATCCCAAGATGTGCATAAACCAGATAAAGACGTTGCAAGGTGTTCATGCCTGATATAGAAATATTATGTCGCGATGTTTTCTAAAGAAAAGTTTTTATGCACATGATGGTGTGGATTGTTACAAGAAACGATATCTTCAGGGTCTTGTGAAGTCTACCTCTCTCATACAAAGCATATTAAATGGTACCTTTACTTGTCCACAAATTAGAGAAGCTGCAGCTTTAGGCAGCCAGAATTGTAACAGGTCTTCCTTTTTTTACTAGTAGTAGAATTATTTATGATGAGATTGGTTGGTAAACTCTAGCTGAACGAAGAGAAAGGTGGAAGTTACAATTATTTTATAATATTCAACATAATAATGCACCAGCCTATCTTTGCAATTTATTTCCACCAACAATCCAAAGTACAGCTGTTTACCCCTTAAGTAATGGGAATGATATAATATATCCTTTTTGTAGACTTTCATTGACCCAAGAATCCTTCATACCTTCAACTATACGACTGTGGAATAACCTTAATGTGGTGAACCGCAACATTGACTCTTTAGGTAAATTTAAAACTGAATTAAAAAATCTTAAACTGAATTCAAAAGCCCAACTACCTGTACATTATGAATTTGGCAACCGTAAACTCAACGTCATTTTGACTCAACTTAGATGCTCAGACTCTTTTTTGAATTATGATCTTAACAGAGTCAATATAATTTCAGATCCGTCTTGTAGCTGTGGTGCTTAGCGTGAAGATTCATTTCACTTCTTTTTTTAATATCCTAATTATACGTATATAAGAATCAAACTATCTAATAATCTGAACTGGTTACCAGAGAACTCTCCACTAAATTTTAACATCTTAACCTCCGGTGATTCGCCATTAACTAATGATGAAAATGAAAAAATGTTAAAGAATGTGTATGAATTTATTAAAGAGTCAAAGAGGTTTCTTATTGTGTTATATAGCACACTAAAGTGCATATACATGTATATTGTGTACAACCATTCACATCATCACACGTCATCTTTTTACATATCCAATATATATAATGTATTGTTTGCATGCATGCTTTGTAAAAAATTCTATTGTTATAAATTGTTCATGGGAGAAGACTTTAGAAGTTTGATTAACTTGTGTCTCATCCCTTTTGCATATTTAAGCAAATAAAATATGTTTAAACTAAAAAACTAAACTTGTCCATAAAGTGTTTTAAATTGATCAAAATTTCTAAATATCAGTTTACTTTTACATGTTTGTCTTTTTGGTAGATGTTAGTTGCTTATATATACGAGGGTGGTAAAGGGTTATTTTCGTGCAACGTTTTCGGCCTTTTAATTTCACGTGTTTTCGTGTTTTGATGATTTATTTCTCGTTTTCTCGTGTTTGGTTCGATGTGCGTGCTTCGTGTTTCCCCTTATTTATTTTCCGTGTTTCGTGTCGGTACTCTTTATTTCTCGTGCTTGTCTCGCATTTGATTAAAAAGTAAACCGGGACTAATTCAAAGTCAGCCCGGATATTGTTTTAAATTATGTATTAATAAACTGTAGCCTATAAGTACTTAAATAACAGTATAACTATGAATAATATTTTTTTTCAAATCAGATGCAACTAGCGGACGCTAAAAGGTGACCATAGGGTCTTCATGTCCATTAATAATGACTGCATGATCTCCAAGAACGGCTGAGTAATAACTTCTAGTACTTTTTTCCTTAATATCTATAATTTTATTTCTCGTGCTTCGTTTTTTCCGATTTTTATTTTCCGTGCAACGTTTTTGCGATTTTTATTTCACGTGTTTCCGTGTTCAGACCCCCACTTTACCACCCTCATATACCAATCTGATAAGTCGCGCCATATCAAAATTCAAATGGATTATTACAGTTAAAAGGTTGTGCTATTACACAACTATCCAAGGTTAAAGGAATTGATGTGGTTTGGGGTTAACCCGCACGATGATTATTTTAAATGCAAAATGACGCAGATGCCATTCATTTCATGGAGATGTTTTAATATTCGACAAACATGTTCCATCTTAAATTTAAATTTGTATTCCTCTAAGTGTTCTCTGTGTCTTGTGTATAACCATGATATTGCTAAATATACAATGAATTACCTCCTCCAAAGCCTCCATATTTCTTTAGTTTGAAGATAACATTTAGTAAATCTTCAACTATCTCGTGTTCTGTATAATAAAAACAAATCACAAATATTGCTAAATGGTATTTTAATAATAATAAATGTTATTAATAATTATATGTTGTGTGAATTTGTTTGGCAATCTTATTATGAAGGAAACAAACAATAAGATAGAAGTAAACTGCTCAAAGAAGATATAAATAGATATAAGAAGATGTGGTATGAGTGCCAATGAGACAACTCTCCATCCAAGTCAAAATTTATAAAAGTAGGCCATTATAGGTCACAGTACGGTCTTAAACACGGAGCCTTGGCTCACACCGAACAGTAAGCTATAAAGGGCCCCAAAAATTACTAGTGTAAAACTATTCAAACAGGAAAACCAACGGTCTAATCTATATAAAAAACGAGAAACGAGAAACACTTATGAACCACATCAACAATAAAGTCCATTGTAATAGCGAGTTTTCTTTATAATCTGGATCGAAATTTATGCAAGTCTAATTTCGGATCTTTTGAAAAGTTTTTCATGTTTGATTGGTTTGCTGAAGATCGACATGTATTAGAAAGCTATCAATACTGATAATGAAAAAGAAGTATAAATTCAAAAGTGAACATGCAATACAATTAAATAAACTAGACATAAGGCAGTTGCAATGAAGCATTTTAGCTTCAACAACACACTATGAGTCTAGACTGTCTAGATAATGTTTGAATTACGTTGGATGGAAATTTGACACAACACCAAAGTTCATTAATATTTGTAAAACAACAATTTTGTGTCTGTATGTTTTCATGTAAACGACCTTTCGACATTTACCAATTCAGAGATGAGGTGAAATCAGTCAAATTGATCTGCTACCCAGCATCATGAATAAATACAAATGGAGAACAAAACAAAGATTGAAAAATATGTTTGACATTATTTCATAAAATTCTATGTGACTAATCTAGGTGATTTGATTAGATTTTAAAAATTAAGAAATAATAACAGCCACTAGTTGCAAAGGCGCACATGACGTATACGTACACAATGAAATATCTATTGATATTGATATCTGTAGATCAAGTGTTATTATTATGTTTATAATTGTTAACAGCTTATAGTTGCATATGTCAAAGAGAGGCATAAAATATCAAAGCAATTTTTAAAATCACAAGTCGGAAACATACTGACAATGTCATGGAAAAAAAACCCAAAAAACAATTGAAAGTCAAACAACATTATACAAAACACAGAAAACTATAGACTGAGCAACACGAACCACAACTAAAACCGTGTGTGATCTCGGGTGCTCCGGAAGGGCAAGCACATCCTGCTCCTGTGAACATGACAACCAATGGAGGAAGAAACGACATAAAAGGAAGCCTTTGGCATAGTGGTATGTGAGAGATTAATCCTGTTTGAAAGTGTCTGTTATTATTTTAAACGACGGTGTTTTTTGTCTTTTTGTTATTTTTTTTGCGTCGTGCCGATCTATTGCGTCCTTTCAAACTAAGTTTTATAGTTTTTTTTCTTATATTGCGCTGCTACACCATTGCCCATATTAAGGGGATGGTTAAGCGCTCGCAAACTTGTTTAACCCAACTACATTATTTATGCGTCTGTCCAAAGAAAGGAGCCTGTAGCTCACTGAATGTTGTTGGTTGCTATCTTTCATATTTGTTTTTAGTATTCTATCATAAATCAGGCCGTTGGTTTTTCGCGTTTCGATTTTCTTTTTATTATAGTTATGACGGGGCAGTTCATAGCTTACTATACGGTATGGGTTTTGCTTATTCTTGAAGACCATATGGTAATTTATAGTTGCTTACATCCAAGTCTTTTTGGTTTCTGGGGGATAACTGTCTCATTGATATTCATATCACATCCCTCCTTTTTATATTGTTAGTATGTACTGAAATTTAGAAATTACTCGAGAGTTTAATACATAAGTTTTTCTAATACCCGAATCTTTCTGTTTTTCATCGTTTCATAGCTATATGATAATCATTTTATACTTACTATGGCACTGCACAATATTTCCATAACAAATCAAACTTGCAAAGAGAACAACAAAAATCATGTCTGCAATTGTACAATGTATTATCCCAACAACAAAACATAGACCCTTTTCATAACCATTAAAACATTTGAATTATAGAATTGTAGCAGCTGTCAATGAATATGATATGATTGCATGTTACCTTGGCGTGTTGAAATAGCGTGATGCATAAATGTTTAGACTTGTAACGATTCAACTAGCGTTATGCTAATTTTTTTTGGGAAAAATAACTGTCAAACGGGAAACTTATAAACAAATAAACAAATTTTGAAACCATTCCTAGATGGTTTCAATTTACTTATCACGATGTGTATGAAATGTGATTTTTAAGGTGTCAAACTTGATGTGTCTAAATCAGCTGAAATTTTATGTGTAGTTTTACAAAACATACGACTCCTACTTTTTTTAAATCGAAACTTCGAAACACATTAAAAATGCAAAGCTGTAGGTCATCGTTCATCCGTCCGCCACATTTTTAATTTCCGGATGATAAGTAAAGTACACCTTGTTCAAATCTTAAATTTTGTCATATTGTCATAAACCATTCAATACAGGTCAAGTTCAATTTTATTGTTTTTGAAATTGGCCGTTCAAGAGTTATGTTATCTTAGTTATCTTAAAAATATGATTTATTTTTATTTTTTCAGGTTGATAATTGAAGAACCAATTCACGAACGAATGGTTTAAAGATTTCAACACAATCCCATGATCTATAAAATACAGGTCAAGTTCAATTTTGACGCATTAGTAATTCACTGTTCAAAAGTTTTGCTACTTTATAATCTTAAAAATAGAAGTATATTTTTGGTTTCCTGATAATATTTTAAGTATCACTTGATAGAATCTTTTGAAATTTTAACACAATGTCAAGTCCATGAAATAAAGGTAAAGTTTGATTTTGACGCCTTTGGCATTTACCAATGATTTGTCTCCTGCTGTCTTTGAATGGTATATTAGAGTGGTCCTGAAAGTTGCATATAAATTGAAATTAGTGAAAAAAATATTAAAACAATTATTGTTGAACATGATTTATCCAAAGTGAAAGTAGGGAAGGAATAAGGCTTCGGTATTATTTAGAAATAAAATCCTATCATTTTATGGTTACATGGCTTTAAAAGAGAACACTGTCAAAATAATTGTGGTCTGATGCCGTATATTTTATGTAAGCAGATTATACCTATATTGACTTTTAACGGACAGCCTTTCTTTTGCTTTAAAATTTGAAAGAAAGATCGGAAAACGATGCTATTACCCGCATACAAGTTTTTATCAATTCTTACTTGCAATGATTATGTTGATGATGACAACAAAAAATATACACTATTATTCAGAATGGTCGAGTAAGAATCAGTTAAGTCGAGTACAAATAATATCCATTTCAGGCTTTAACTGATTTGTAGTAAAGAGAAATAAAATCTATTGAATTCTTAATTTTCGGTTTATAAGTACCTGTATATCTGGTCATCTTTTTCTCTCAGTTCTATCGTTTTAAATAATTTTCATTGTTCCCAAATCGTGCAATTAATAACAAAGGTAGCAAAACCTTAGACAAAGATAATCTTAGGTAAGTGTCGATATTCTGTTTAAAGCCCTTTTGGTTTCATTGGTTTGAAATATCTTAATTTTTTGGCGTCCCAGGCAAATATGATGAAAGTAGTTCAAGAAATGGTGCCGTGTACACAGCAATCGATATCATTCGGTGTATATTACCATGTCATACTGATATCTGATACTATTATGATACATCAGTTGCAATGAACTTCGACTAATAGTAGGACAACGTTGTGACCATGCATACTCATTTCTTATTTAATGAATGGGTAGACTTTAAAATTATCATACTGCTTTATATTTTTTGTGTAATCAGGCTAGGTAAATCATACTAGTATTCTTTCAGTTTATTTATCATTTGTTTTAGGTCATGGTTTTAAAAGTATTTTCCTGATATAATTTAATTGTTGTTACATCTTGATCATATGCTATAGATTTCATGCTTTATATGTGTGTTTTTCACTTTTTTGTTACTTACTAAAAAGGAGATATGGTATAACGGCAAGGGAGATAAGTTTCCACCGATACCAAAGAGCAAGGAGGTAAACAACTTCAGATCACCATACGGCCTTTAATAATGAGAAAAAACTCATACCGTAAAAAAACCTGTAATATATCTCGGTTTAACATAATTTGAAACAATTCAAACTAGAAAACCAACGCACTGATTTATACTAAAACAATAAATCAAAAACAATTATGACAAACAGCAATCAGCGACAACTACTGGATTACAGGCTCCTGGCTTGAAACAAAAACATTAAGAATTGCGGGTTAAATATAACCCCCGCATCACCTGAGACAATGGTGTAAAAAGTAAAATCACAAAAATACTGAACTCCGAGGAAAATTCAATCGGAAAGTCCCTAATCACATGGCAAAATCAAATGACAAAACACATCAAACGAATGGACAACAACTGTCATATTCCTGACTTGGTACAGGCATTTTCAAATGTAGAAAATGGTGGATTGAACCTGGTTTTATAGCGCTAAACCTCTCACTTGTACGACAGTCTTATCAAATTCCGTTATATTTACAACGATGCGTGAACAAAACAGACATTATAAATAAAATAGTCAAAATATGGGTACAGCAGTCATCACTGTGTTACAATATCAAAACAAACAATTATTTACAAAAAAGAACAAAAGCATCTATCAAATTAAAAACCACATTCATTGTGTAACAGCACAACATAGGAACAATATGTAAAAATTAGTAGTTGCAAAGGTCTTGAATCGTCAGATCAGTAGATTTATTGATTGATTGGCGTTTTAAGGCCACTTTCAGCAATATTGGTTATTTCGTTGCAGTCAGTTATTTTATTGGTGGAGGAAGCCATAGTGCTCGGAGAAAACCACCGACCTTTGGTAGGAAAACCGACAATCCTAGTCAATTAAGATTGGAGCCGAACGCACCTGCCACATGCGAGATTCGACATCACAATCCCAGTGTTGGCAGTCTAGTGATACAGTAGTTGGAACAGTACTGAGAACGGATAGACAAAAAGACAAAAGACACAAAGAATCGATCTAAGATTACTGACAGTTACTGAAATCTAGTTCAGAGCTAAATTACAACTCATAAATAAACCAGGTCTCCGCAAACTAAAATACAAACAGTACATCTCCAAGGGATTTAGAGGTAAGATGACATAAGCAGTGAGAGAGAAAGCACGAACGTCTGCTATGGTGGAAAATGTGATGAGGCCAAATATTTGTATCTAGGGAAAAAATGGAAGTTTGAGGTCATGAAATCCCTAATTAAATAATTAAACAGTTATACATATATTACGTTCATTGAAACTTATACGTCACTTAAGACACGGGCATAGCAAACATCACCGTCAAAAGCAGGCAAATCATCAATAGAGAACAAAACATGTGAAACGGCGAGCTACTGCTGACTGATGATACCCCGCCCGCCCAGGAAGTTGTTGAGTGATGAATCTGAAAACGCATCACACGGTATAGCTGACTTATATAAACCCTGAAACCAAATTTCAGAAATCCTTATGATGTAGTTTCTGAGAAAGATGCGACGAAAAATATTCATGGGACGGATGGACGGACGGACGGATGGACGGATGGACGGACGGACGGACAGAGGTAAAACAGTATACCCCACTTTTTTTAAAGCGGGGTATAATAATATTTCTTTAGTCGTAAATTTAAGTGAAAAGTTGCCAGTTCGAAGATGAAATATCATTTTTTTGTTTGTTAAATAGCGTAAAATGAAGGTTGCTTTGTTCAAGACCATTACGTGACGTTGAATATCTGAAACGAAACTAATGGAGTCTATCACATCACATAGAAACCATAAGACATTTTCTTTTGATCTTTAAAAGAAAAACGCCACAACACAACTTAAATCTCGCTGTTTGTTTTTAAAAGAACAAGGACATTTATGTTTTTTTTAAATTCGATATCAAGGGAACAACTTATCATATAAAGGAAAGAGTTTTGTTGAAAATTTACAATAATATAATTGAAAGTGACATATAATTTGAAATTTTTTATCTTTTTGTTTTTTTATCTATGTTGTTTATTTTCCTTAAGATAATGCTTTGGTCGTCTGATGTCAAATATTCCCTTTTTATCTTTGACCCATGATTTCATCTCTTCTACAGTTGTTGGTAGCTCACGTCCCATTGTTTCAGGCAAGGTCAACAGAATTATTGTACAAATTATGTTCAGCAAAGCAAAGATTATAGCTGGTCCCCAAAATACATGATCAGCCTGAAAGTTTAAAAAAAACAACATCTAAATCATGTTTTACACCAACAACATTTTTGGTGCCTGTTCAAAATCAGGAATATTTTCCTTGGTAGAAGAAAAAGATAATATAAGAAGAAAACAGAAACAAGATGTGCACAAAGCTGATAATAATAGAAATTTCAATTGTCTGTTTAAAACTTATATCCAGCATGACAAGTAAAAAACAATTTCAGCATAGGGTATGCCTTTTTGGGTTTAGGAACATTAAGGACATTTTGCCAGAAAACAAAACAATTCAAACGGAAAGTACTTTGATAGTTGAAGTAGTTTAACAGACGGCATAAGAAACGATTTGCATTAAAATTGGCTCTTACTGTTTTATGTAGAAACTCAGCGAAAATAATTTCAGTATTCGTATGAAGCTTGTATTTCCCATAATGTTTCCTTTTCTATCATCTAAATTGTCTGTTGTTGACAGTGACACATAAAAAGTTTAAACAATAAAATTAATGACCGTTGATTCATTTAGAACAGGCAATGCAATAAACTGTTTGTTTTCGTTGTGCACATATCTATGTGTGCAATATGTTGTCCCAGGTTTGCATTCTATGATTTGTTTCTGTATTGAATTTAACGGTATCAAATTAAAAGATATGATGCTCGAAAGTAACATTCAATGTTCTTACCAAAGTAGCAGCAAATGGGGATATCATTGATCCTATTCTAGATACAGTTGATGCCATACCTAGTCCAACATTCCTATATTCAACAAAACAAAGTGATTAAAATTGGTTCATACTTATAATAATTTGGCCAAAATTTCCTCTTTAGTACCCAATTTTAGAATTACTCATGGTAATCTTCATTTAAAAATTTATGACAAACAGGAGAACTTTAACTTTAATTTTGAAATTTTACTTTCCTTCATGTTGCTTTAACGATAACTCCTTTTTACGGAGTGCACTTTCAAGCTTGGTTCGATATATTAACACGTTTGCAGTGATTTTTCAGAGTTTAATGAAAATTTTGTTTCCATTACTTGAATAACTTTGACAATAGGGATACTCCATCCATCATAATTTAATCAAAGCTTTTTCTAATTTAATATAAAAAAAACACAAAGTACAATTCAAGTTGCAGAAATTTGATCTCTAAAAAGTATATTTTAAACACAATCCTATGCTTTCATGGAATAATATTAGCAAACACGAATAAGAATTGTCCTTCCAGTCTTTTGGGGGGTTTAGTTTACATATTGATAAAGTGTATACTTAACTTACTATTTTTACTCAATTACTGCGTCTTGTATTAAAAAAAAATTAATATTAGATCACTTTGATACAGTTTGAAGCAAAATAAAAAGTTTCTTTTTATTATCCCTTCTTCAGATTTCCTTTTTAATCAGTACGAGGACTGGAATGTAAATTTCGATATCGTCGTTTAGTCACTATTCTTTTTAAATTCATTTTAGACAAATATCAGAGGCTGTTTTAATCCACAGTCAATCATTCTAATCATTTCTTCTATTTTATATTAGAAATATTTTTTTAATTTTCTTTCATACCTTAAGTTCGTAGGATATAACTCTGGCGTGTAAAGGAATATGCTGCTAAAAGAACCAGCTGCAGAAAATCTTCCAAATATAGAGAAAAATGTTGAAAAGTGTTTCAGCCAGTAGTATGTACCTAAAAATAAATCAATAGGAATACAGTGCACTTTTTGTTTTAAAAATATATAGTATAGTAAATATAAGTCGTTAAAACAATTAGGATTGGTTATTTTCTTCTGAACATGAACGAATAGTAGTGAATCAATTCAACTACGCAATAAACAAAACGTATAATATAAGCTTCTGTTTCTATGTCAGTGTTATCAATCAAGCAGTTTTCTGGTAAATCTGCTTGATTTAATCCGAGAATGTCTACAGTACTGCTGAAAAGATAAGGGAAGGGGAATACTTCCTTCAGATGACAATATTTATTGTTGATTATGCACGAACATTTTGTTTTACATATAGTACACACCTGAGTATGTGAAACAAACTGTGGCCAGTATCAATGTTACACCAGCAAAACTATGAAACATTACTAACACATATCGTCGTCCTATTCTGATAAAGAGAAACAAACAAGTAAATGATACAATTGCAAAAGAACAATTTAAAAGTTTTTTTCCGGTACGATATTCACTCTGGAAAATGCTTGTTCCAAGCCAGGAATATGACAGTTGTTTTCCAATCATTCCGTTGGTTTATAAAGTCGAACGTTTGATTTTGTCAATTTATATGGACTTCCCCTATTTTAATTTACCTTGGATTCGGTAACTTTGTTCATTCCTTTTTTACCTACGATTTTTTCACCGAACATTCAATGATGGTCTTATTAAGGAGTTGTCGGTGAAAACAGAGGAAACACTCATTAAAGATACCAGGCTTATAATTAAGGCTTAGAGAGCAAATCATTCCTCCCTGTCTACCTTTCTTTTTCTTCAGTTATTGTAATAATTGTTTCCAATTTTAGGAGTCGTGGAAAAATCATGTGACAAGGACACGAATTAAAAGACATAATTTCTTCTTCATCTGTACCAAGTCAGGAATATGACAGTTGTTGGTTGATATAGTAGCTCGTTTGTTTTTATCAGGTTTTATGGACTACCCATGCTTGAATTTACCTTAAAGTTCGGTATTTTTGTTTATTCATTTTTTTCTCAGTTCTGATATCTTCTAGAACATTTAGTATGAAAACAGCTGGCATGGCTACTAGTTTATGTTTTGGTTTAACACATCCAAGTTTTTTTTATTTCAATCATTCTATTAATTGATTTTCTATATTTATAAGTAGCTCGTCTGTCAAAATTAATAGCTGTGCATGAATACCACAAGCATTCTACCTTATTTGATATGTTCTGCATCTCTTACTGTTTATCTTCGGTAAAATCACAAGACACTATCTCCTAGATATCCTTTAATTTTTTTTTTTTGTTCCTTTCCTGACTTTTAAGTTGTGACAATTACGTCAACATTCCAAAAGGTGGTTATATTTTTATATATAATTCAATGTAATGTATTTTCCATCATTTACTTTTCATTTTTTCTATCTTTTACAATATGCAAATTAACTGACATCAAAGTTTAAGGTCAAAGGACAAGGTCATGATCATGGTTTCATTTGTACACGTATGTATAACCATTTATGAATAGTGATTCTTTAAAACGAGAAAGAAATTTGAAAGAAATACAAGAACTTGTTATGATATTATTAAGGGAAGGTCCTGAATAATTGAACATGTATATTTATTCTATGCTATATTGAAGGACTTTTAAAATAAAGCTTCATAATACTAACCTGTTGATACTAATCTGTTGGACGAATGTGGCTGGAATTTCCGAAAGAGCGGCTAATATGTTGTTCACATATCTGTCTCCAGCAAGTCTTGATGTCGTAAGCATCAGTCCGTAATAAGTCAGAGTATTTGTTATCCTTTTACAAAAAGAAAAAACATAACAATACGTTATTGTACATAAAATGAAAACTTATGTAGCAATATCATAATGTAAAGATGAACATTTTGCATGTGTTTAGAAATTTGTGCATACGAAACTACTATTGACTCTTTATAATAAAACAGTTCATTCAAAGTTTAGATTAATAGTTACATAACAATTCAATGAATTTTTATTTTAGAAATAGCAAAAAAAGATGTAAAAAAGGTAATTTAAAAGGTTCAACCGAATGACGATTTAATAAAGGGGGAAATCAAAACTCATAAGTCGAAGAAAAACTGACAACGCCATGTCAAAATTGGAAAAACGACGAAAAGACGAACAAATCCATAAAACACTACATAGAAAACTAAAAATTAAAAGTAATTTGTATTGCATTAATATAGAATTATCTCGTGAGTTTTTTTTTTATAGTAGAACATACACACAGACTTTTATAAAATTTCAGTAACATTAAGTCCATTATGGACTTTTATGTTTGGCCTTATCAAGCGTGTATTGTTGGTTACATATATTAGTAGCATGACAAATAATACGATATCAGCAAAATATTGAATTTAAAGATCAACAGATCAATTACAGTTATAGATTTAAATAAATAATGATAAACAACACAAATTAGTAACATATAATTTAACCATAAAAGAATAATATACTAAAAATTATGGTTATATACAATGTCAAATAAATTTCAGCTATTCATCAAAGGAAATTGATAGATAACTTTCATTTTTTCATCTTCGTAGTAAAGGTGTATAAAAGCAGGTATGTAAATCTTACCATATTACCCACAATAATAATGATGTGATCAGAATTCTTTTATGCTTTAAAACAGTGATAACCGAGTATCTATGGACTGTATGGTCCAATTCTGTTGTTCCATTACTAACACACGATTCAACTTTGCTGATTGATTCCTGATTTTCTGGTGGATGTATGATATGTTCTTTTGGTATAAGCAGATTTTTCTTTTCTACTGATTTCATTACAGACTCATAACTTTGATTGTTCCATGATGCCGCTTTCTTTATTATTTTCATTGCCTTATCTGTTTTTCCATTTGCAAGGAGCCATCTTAAAGATTCGTCAATAAATCTGCAAATTAGATATGAACAAAACGAGTTATGTGATGAAAGTAAATAAGAAAGCAACCAAATAACAAATATAGACTTCTTCAATATCACAGAAAGACAAATGCACTATGATCAGGCAAGGGCTCGTCCCATTTCATATTTTAGGCCCAAAGTGTTTGCATAAACATTTTACCACGTATGGTAACTGGACTGTTGATCCCGAGTCGTATTTGATTTAGCCTTACAACTGTTGTTTTTTTCGAGGACCAATGATGTAGAAGAAACATGTGTCTAGTGAACCAAATTATAAGCCCGGTATCTTTGGTGAATTTTTACAACGTACAACAGTACTTCGCAATTATTTTTATGCAATAGTTCTGAAGAAAATTACAGTATATATTTTTTTCAGATACTATAATTTAGCGTGAAACAGGTTTATTTTTATAATAATAATTGATATATTTGTCATGAAAGACGTTTCTTTTCAAATGTACAAAATTTTGGAAACCTAAGTTGATTAAATATCCACTAAACATTTAAGCATTTCCTATTGTATCTTTAATGGCATTAATATGGAAGATAATGTTACTTACAACCAATCAAATATAACATGCCAAGACAGTAATCCTAAAATCATTTGAAAATATCTCCACGGTAGATTTCTACATAAGTATCCGATAACAGAGGTAAAACCAATACCAATAGTCCAGGCGAAGAATGCAAGCCCTTCTCCTCTATGTCGAAATTCAGTAGGCAGAATTTCTACGCACAAAGTAGTGCCTGTCATCACGCTGCCCTGATATAAAATAATGAGTAAGATACGAAGATGTAATCATTGCCATCTAATTGGATTAAAATGTCGTATGAAGAATTTTTCTGCGGCTTCATGCTTAAGTTTAAACACTAAATATTTTTAGATTATTTTCATACAGGTTTTGTTTAAAAATGACAGTCAACATAATTGTATATGCGAAATAGAAGTCTCGGTGGGAAACGAATTTTCGTGGATTTTATTGGTATGGATACTTTGGCAAAACCAAGAAAATACAATATTTTACAAATTCACGAACATGTACGAAAATAAATGTATTTACAGTAACAGTAATATTTTATCGGTATCACTAAGTTAAGGGCATACGATACAGTTTTGATCCCACGGTGAATTTTGGACGAAAGTTTTTCACCTAGTCAATTCAAATACGTAATAAAAATTATACCTTCATGTGCTACTTTTGGATATAAATTGGGTCGAAATTTTAGACATTTACTGGAAATTTCGGTTTCTTGGACATTCTATTCTTTGGAAAGACATACCTAACTTGTTTGTTTTAAAAGATAAACGCAAGCGGATTTTTGTAAAAGCATCTGGAATATCTTCTCTACATGAGTGTGATTTGAATTTGTGATACAATCCTTTGGAAATTATTCATTTTTATCACATTTTCATGATCTTAGTAAAAAAACTGCACTGTTTGCTGGAGATTTATCTAATTTAAAAAAAATCACCGGTGATTTGTTCATAAAAATTGGCACAAATAATCTTCATTCATAATCAAGGTAAATGTCATTGTTAAAAAGAGGGGTTCATGAACTTGTTTTTAAGTTAAATCAGTCTGAATGATAAAAATCAGTCGAAAACGCATCTTTTCCCGATATATCAGTTTGACGTCGTGAAAAAAAACCATTTTACATTAGCAACGTCATTACCTCCCCTATAACTGTACCGTTTGCCCGTAAGCAAAAGTTTAAGGTTTACTTCAAATTTAGTTATACTACAGCGTAATAATCATATAAAACTTAGCACACTTACATCAAACTGCTGCATAAATACATTCTTTAAGGAAATTGTAATTTATTCTTTTTGCTGCGTTGTACAACATTTCATGTTGATTTAGAGATGGTCGAACAAACAAATTGATGTTATACATCTATCATAAATAACGCTTTGTCATGAAATTATATTACTTACTCCTTGAAAGGTTCCTATAAGCAATCTGTATACAGAAAATACTTCTATCGAGGGCGAAAACATTGCAGTCACACCGGCTATTGTATAAAGAATTCGCGAAATAATGTTAATTGGCTTCCTTCCAAATCTGTCGGAAAGAGGAGAGAAAATTGCAGCACCTACAGCTTGTCCCATCATTATTAAGGTTTGAGCAAATTCAGATCTTGCTGATCCCTCACATACTAAATCCCACTATAAATAAATTATAAAGATAACAATATTTGCGTGGATACATCTATAAACAAACCCAACTTAGGTCCCTTTGGTCGTATAACTCTTAAATATAGTGGTTTGGCATTTATCCATCCGGCTTTCAAATTTTTGGCTTTGAGCGTTTCTGATGAAGGTAAATCCAGAAAAACGTTTTGGACGCATGAAATTAAAAAAGTGTTATCTTATTTTTGTAAAAAAGACAAATTGTTTTAAAAAAAGTTTTGTGTGTTAATTTTAACAGCAGCATATTTATCTATACAAATTGAATGCATTAAAGAATTGGTTTTTTATATTCCTTTTTGAATCATACCTATTCTTTTTTAGTTGTAGTTTAGGAATAATGATTTAAGCAGGAATTTGAGGATGACCTCAAAAGTTTTGCAGTTCTTCATACTACTCGTCTAAAACCACGTAGTTGCTATCAAAAAGTAATTTCATATGTACTGTTGTATAAAATAAAAGATTAAAATAACAGAACTACCGGTTTGCAGAAACTCAATTCCGTTTAGCTTCATGTCAATTGATAGTTATCGTGTTGCTCAGTCTTTAGTATTCTATGTTGTGATTTGTGTAATGATGTTTGTCTGTTAGTCTTTTTCTTTTTTTAGCCATGGATTTGTCAGTTTATTTTCTACTTATGAGTTTGAATGTCCCTTTGGTATCTTTCGCCTCTCTTTTATAGATGGAATAGTAGATATTCTACCAATTTCTTTAGAAAAATATGTTTTTCGTATGAAGTATTAGGCCTTTATCTTAATGACTCCAAATACGAACCAAATACTTTATCATGATTAGAAAAGGTTGAACGTCAAGAAGCGTACTTTAATCAATTAATAATTCAATTTTCTTCTAATATCAAAAAGGCCATGGCACTAGTATTGAGGACAAAATAAGTTTATCTCAAATTCTTTTAATGAATTCAGTAAAAATAAGTTTTTTTTTATTCTTATCTAAAGACTCCTCTTTTTTTACAACAAAACAAAAAAAAATTTCAAGCTGCTATATTGTGAAGTTAACATACAAAAAGATGCTTGAAATATATTTCACCAACTCCATTTCGCTCTCTAATATTTAAGAAAACGCAAAAAAATGGGCATATCCTTAAATCCGAGCTAAAAAGGTAAAACATAAAGTAATCAGATAGAGTCTAAAGTTTGATTTTGCCAGTTCATACAACTTACTCTTTTGAATTTACCTTGGAGTTCGGTATTTTTGTGATTAATTTTCTGCGTGAAAATTCCATAACTTGATACCAGTCCGTCCTCTACTGAAGATGTTTGATGTTTATGAAAACAACTCCCAAAAAAATATCGCTATAAAGCCTCTGACCAAAAATAAAAATAGGCGAAGATAGTGTTTCATAAGGTCATTCGCAGAAATTACACCAGGAACCGATATATCGTTCCAAGTACTTGGGTTTTAAACACATAGACGTTTTGTATATGTTTGGATTTCTTCATGATTTTTGTCCCGATAAAACCCGATGAAGGTTACTTATTATTGCGATAGACACCCATTCGCAAGATTCGCATCAATAAAAACCTCGCAATAATTTCTGAATTTACAGTATTTATACGGCTATTTAGAACACATCTAGATCTTCATTAAGTTGCTTTGTTTCAGCTTAAGAGGGAACATTGGTTTTCTTCTAAAAGGTTTAAGTTGATAGGACTTTTTGACCATTTTACACCTTCAGTTAACTGAGTGATAAAATAATGTTCATTTTTACTCTCTCGTCTTGAACTGAAAAGAAGGATACGTGGAGGTTAACATACATACCAAAAGTACAGTTAGCTTACATATACACCTTAACTGCTTTTAAGTAAAGCAAAACACGTAAAATAGAACAAACTACTTCTATAATCAAAATTGATCACCTCTTATAAAGATTTTATAGACGGCAAATATGCAAAAACATACAAATAATGTGACCTTTTGTAAAAATTTTACAAAACAACAACACTTAACAAGGTTATAATTTTAAAAGTACACTTTATCATATCTTACTCTAATTTCAGAGGATTGATCAATGTATCTAATGATCATTTCTAACTTATCGAGATACATAATTAAAAATACGATAGGACGCAGATTGTTTTTAAATCATTATGATGATGTAATCAATAATGGGACAATGTTTTAATTGTTTTGAAATCTTCAAGTTTGAAATATATCAAGTAAAACAGTATCGGGAAAACTATCCAAATTCTTTTGTAAATTATAATTATATGTATGCAACAGGTCTTAACCATTTATTGTTAATGAGAGGGACGAAAGATACCAGAGGGACAGTCAAACTCATAGATCAAAAACAAACTGACAACGCCATGGCCAAAAATAAAAAGACAAACATACAAATAATAGTACAGATGACACAACATAGAAAACTAAAGACTAAGCAACACGAACCCCACCAAAAACTGGGGGTGATCTCATGTGCTCCGGAAGGGTAAGCAGATCCTGCTCCACATGTGGCACCCGTCGTGTTGCTTATGTTATTACGAATCCGGTAAATAGTCTAATTCGGTAGGTCAAATTCGTGAAAAGGGAAGGGTATTGTAGTTACGACATAAGGAACATATCCGATATCATCTGTGAAACGGTTATTCCATAACGGTCAACCAACTCGTGATGGCGTCCGTAAAAATTACGAAGGGATGATTTTAACTTCACCATTTGGAGTTTGTGCCAATAAAAAAATATTTGAATTTGAATTTGAATGTAATGCATTTAAGATCAAAAAGATCATTGCAGTCATTGTCATAACTCATTTATACATTTGCATGAACAACAACAACAAAAATAATCATATTCAAGTCATTCAATTTACTGTGATAAAATTGTTTGAATATTTTGCTTACGCATTATTTAGTTCTTTTAAGTCCATAAAATAAATGTTTAGAAGCTTCTGCTTACCTGCAGTTTTTTGGTACATACTTTACAAACAGAGTTAGTAGGTGGTTCTTAATTGAACTGCAGACGAGAATTATTTTACCGTTTATGCGTACTGAAAGAACTGAACTTGACTTAATGTTTTTTTTTATGTATAGGTTAAATGAATTAACGAACAGAATCCCAAGTTTTTGCTACCAAAAGTTAAAATACCAAAAAGCATATACATATGAACGTTAATTTGGCTTTCTAATTGATTTTGTTTTGCGTGCAACTGACGAATAAAGACGAAACGCACGTCAGGCGTACTAAATTATAAGTCTTGTATCTTTGCCGAGTTTTTATATCTCAGCGTCTTTTTGAAACATAAATAGAGGTGTAATCAGACAATCATTGCAGTAAAATTAATCAAGTTTAACGAATTTCGGAACTGGGTGAATCAGGTGGCTCAACATGATAGTATAAGCATCTCCTGCTATGCATGTATCACCCGTCATATAATTCGCAAAGTAGTATTTAATAATGAGAACTGTTTTAAAACATCCAACAAAATCCAAAGTGTTGAGATAAATTGATCTCAATATGTTATCGATTATATCAACCTGAAAGTCTAAGACTGTATCGTATTAAATACAATTCTAATAAATTAAATTGAATACAAATCTTAAGGTAATCATTTTAGATAATTCGTTTACCTCTGTAACGGTTGATCTGTCTTTTGGAATCTCGTACGCGTAACCATTTGAACATGACTGTGATGAATGATATTCGGCATCAGTGTCATTTACATATATATCAATGTTACACTTTCCATATCTAACACGGATATCTGATCTGTTTGATTCTATATCATACTTATGTTGTATTAACTCCGTTTCGTTAATAGACTTGCAGTTATAACCGGGTCTGTAACCTGCAAGCAAAAAGCCAACATATTAACCAACAAACAAAATGGACATTTACCGAAATATTTTTTAAATGGGTGTTTTTAACAACAACAAAATGGAATTTAAACTCGACCACTCGTGTATATTGTTATCTTTCTTATGGGAATTTAAAACTAGTTCTCAACACAAATTGTTTAGGCATGCGTTAAAAAAAGAGAGGCGAGAGATACCAGAGGGACATTCAAACTCATAAGTAGAAAATAAACTGACAACGCCATGGCTAAAAAAACAAAAAGACAAACAAACAATAGTACACAATACACAACATAGAAAACTAAAGACTGAGCAACACGAACGCCACCATAAACTGGGGGTGATCTCATGTGCTCCGGAAGGGTAAGCAGATTCTGCTCCACATGTGGCACCCATCGTGTTGTTCATGTTAGTACAAACCCGAAAATAAGTCTAATTGGGTAGGTCACATTCGGGAAAAGGGAACGGGATTGAAGTTACGACATTAGGAACATATCCGCTATCATCTATGAAACGAATATTCCATAACGGTCAACCAACTCTTCATGGCGTCCGTAAAACTTATGAAGGAATGATTTCAACTTCACTACTTGGAACTCTTGGTTGAATAGCTTCCTTGTGAGCAGCAACCCTCTATCAAGGAAATTATGATAGGAAATACAAGCCCTGGAATGTTGCTACATAGAAATGGAAAGTTCACAATTGGGAAGTTGAAATCATCTCTTTTGTCGTAAAGTTTTGTTTTCAACCGACCCTCATTGTCAATTTCTAGATGTAAGTCAAGTTATGAGGCAGACGTAACTGTATCTGTTGTATCCTTTATCTCTAGTTCGATGGGATAGATGCGTTCGACATAATATTTAATTATTTAGTGAGCGAACATCATCTATATAGCGGAAAGTAAAGTTAAAGGATACTGCTAACTTCTTTTTTTATTCCTAATAAGTTCCTGCATGAAGTTAGCCTCATATGAATAAAGTAACAAGTTAATTATCCCTTTCACTCCACATAATGGAGATGAATGCATGCAGTTATTTTGTAAACGATTTCTTAGATAAATTATTTTCTTTTTTATTCTTTCATAGTTTCACTTTAGATAGTTGTGAAATGAAGATTAAAGAGTTGTTAAAGCGTTGTGAATTGAAGATTAAAAAAACAGTTTAAATAATAAAGCGAAAATAAATTTGTATTTACTATTATTATCAATATAACTCTTCATGTGTTTCAGTACACAATTAACCATTATTGGCTTTGATATATTTGGCGTTGAGCGTTACTGATGAGGTGAACCCAGAAAGCGATTGGAATCGAAATATTTATATAGTGTTCTGTTCATCCTATATAATCATCTTTTCACAACCATGACATAATGATGTCAGAGCCTTTATAAGTACAGACAGTACATATACGAAGTCGGGATTTGAATTTGACCTTTTTGAAAATGTTGATACTTTACATTTCAGTAAATAAATATCTTTTCTGTTCAAATAAGTACAAGTCAAATTAGTTTTTTCTTTGTCGGTGATATATATGTTCACAGTTTTCTATAATTTAAGTATGTATGTATTCAGTATTCTAAAAACAATACTGCAGATTGCTTCCGCTAATTTTAATCTCTTATCAATAATTAAATTAATGAATTTCTCGAAATTTTACCAATTTTGTTTTAGTCCATTATAGACGTCTAATAAAAACGTTTCTTTTTCTAACAAAGATCAGGCAGTTTTCTTTATTGAATTTTACTCACACCGACAAATAATGGAACGATAATCTAATCATGAAAACGCAATGATATTGCATATTTAAAAAATCCATCAAATATTTTATATTTATACAAGTGTTTTTAAAGTGATCCTATTATTTGCATATTTTCGATGTTATTTTACCCGCTATGACCCTGACATTTGACCTAAAATTTGATATGGTTTTTATCTTTCCTCCTATCTTCAATTTACATAAATTTTATTTAAATCCAGAAATGAACACTCAATAATCATAAGGAATATCAATAAAATAATCTTTTATAGTAACAGCGATCTTGAATTTTGACATATTGACCCCAAACCAATATGATTTCCCCCTTCCTAATATCTTCCATCATTTGATAACATTAACGATACTAATGTTATTGCATATCTATATATGTTTGGTTTAAATTAAGCAATGACACAGTGTAAAAAGATTCATGTGTGGTGTTGACATGGTTTCCAAACGAAAAAAATCGATCAATGTAAGTATAAGTATCAAATTTTCTTTTTTGAGATTTTTAAGCACTTAATAATGTGTTGCACTGAAGGTACCGACACATAATCTATTTCTCGAGAGTAGAGCATACGTCCCCAGTACCCTGTTTTCTCAAACATCTCTCCTCAGATTTCCGTGTTGCAGATTTTAAGACCTCAAATACAAGTTTCCGGATAAAATCTACCTTTCGGTGACCTAATACCGTATATTTTATATAAAAATTCGTATCAGGAAATAAAACTTATGTCAGTTTCCAGTTCAAACTTCCTGGTAAAAAGATAATTTTCCATAGAAATGTAATGTGTAGCACTGGATGTCAGATTTAGCATCTCACGGGGGCAAGGCATTCATAAGGAGCCGTGAGTTATTGTCGTTACTAAGCGTCTGCCGTCGTCATCGTGGCCCGTAAACGTTTCCCATTTTCAGTTTTATTTATCAAATCCTAATTAACAATTTAAAACAAATTTGGTATGAATTATGTATAAAAAGTCGCCTTTGATTTAAAGAAAAAAAAAACATGGCCGATACAAATGTTTGGTTTTGATTGCCTAATTTTCAAAAGTCCTCTACTAAAACCAGTTTATGAATTGCTTTAACACTTAAAGGGGTTGATGACTTTGAGGCAGAAATCCTTTTGCGCCAATTGTTGTTTTTCAGATGTATCATTTGCGCCAAATACTGTTTTTTAAAGGCATCAATTGCGCCAATATTCGGAATTCTTTGCGCCAATTTACCTATACACATAGTTATCATACATTTTAATCATCAATAAATTTAGTTGGCTTAAAAAGTATAACTTATAAAATGCTAAAAAAATGAAATGTGTGTATACAGTTTCATAGAACATGAAATAATATTTTGTCAATTTACACTTTATATCTTACTAAATTGATTGATTGACTGATTGGTGTTTCTTGCCACTATTGTGCTATTTTGTGGGGGTCAGTTTTTCTTGGTGACGGAAGCCGGAGTGCCTGGAGAGAACCACCCCGACCTTCGCTAGGAAAACTGACAATCTTACACTAACTAAAAGTATGTACATAAATCAAACGGCAAAAATTACAATGAACTATTTTATTTGTCATATCCATCCATGTTTGTATTTTTGGACAATATTGTGAAATTTAAAGCAACTACTTACATTAAATTGCGCAGTACCCATGCAGCAGAAGTTAGAAGAAGGCATATATCAGAAAAGAAAACATTTGCGGTTGAAAAGTGTCAGAAATATTCAATAGGCGAACTAAGCCGCAGAGCTTATGTTTGTGTCACGAGTTACAAACTTCAGCTTTTATTATATCAATTATGTTGTCAGACTGTAAATAGCTTTATGTTTTAAAATGTGCTATTAAATTACTTAAAATGACTGCCAGCCCAAGCCCGGATAAAAGAGGAGGGAAGTAATTTTTCTCTCAATTGTCATAATCGTATTCTGTATTTTTGGCGCAAATGATACTATGCATTTTGAAAACTAGTGACGCAAACGTAGCATTGGCGCAAATGTGTTGTGGCTCCAAAGGGCGCATTTTTGGCGAAAACGGATTTCTCCCGATTTTGAGACCCATCTCCAATAGTCCTCGTTAAGTGTTGATTGGGCAGCATTGGTGACATATAGTTGCCATTGAAATCCTACGGAAAATCACAGTTTCATCATTTTGATTTTGTGTCAAACATGACGGAATTGGTTACACATATTTACCACACGAACCCTTTTGAAAGTAAATTTTTCAATTTCTTGTTTGAAAGTGGTAGGCTAAATTTGACCATAATTATGAGGAATGATTCTAAAAGGAACTTCTTTTGGTTCGGATGTGGAGAAAAATATGGCTGCCAAATTATTATTCCCTTAATGCCTTGTTTTAACATATTACCTAACATTTAGGTGTGATTTATTTGTTATTTTGAATTTATACATTCGCGTTTGCTTCATTTGGTTATTTTCTACTTTGAGTTATGGTCAGGATGAGTTGTTAAAATAAAAATCTGAAAACAATATTTTGAGTATCTTCCAAATCCTCAAGTTCTAGTCTCAAACGTTTTGTTGGCAGAATTTTGGATTCGTCCATGACATGGCGCTGGCGCAACGACAATGCTCCCCGAGCTGGATCCATATCACCAAATAATTCGCCCAAGTCAAGTTTACGTCTTTTGTTCTTCTGGCTAGAAGGGCAAATTCGTGATCCCTTTAATCAAATAAATAATAACAATAATAACACTGTATGAAAAATAAAATACTGGAGTAGAAATAAGAGAAGCAGCAAACAGAAGACACCCCCCAAAAATAAACCCATCAAAAACAACAAAAATAATAACTTTAACATCACCAAAATAAGACAGTCTTGAACGCAGGTGCTCAGCAAGTGTAAGCAGTTTTTGTTTAAAGACAGTCACTCAAAATATAAAAAAAATACGTAAAGAATTGGATACTTGTAAGGCGAGTATTGTTTTATGTTTATTGTTCATTATCTGATTATGGGTCCAATATCGTGTAATTCATATTAATATAGATTGTTTAATATGAAATAATCCCGTCAACATAAGGAACCAGCTATAACACTTTTTCCACTTTAACCCACTAGTTATTAAATGTAAGTCTGTCTAATGCTCACATCTTTATGCGTCCACCCCTCCCCCTTTGATTGGAAAATATATCATTTTTTTAGCATAAAA